CTCTTGTCAGCTTGAGATGATCTATCTAGTTTTTGCGTGCATTTTGCTCCTTTAAGGACTTTGTGATCAATTATCATTCATGTTTAATGATGCATGACAAACGTTTTATTATGTTTTCGCAGCTCTGTACTGTATCTGTATCTCAGTGAGATCTTGGTTCAGGTTTGTCATCTTAAGTTCCTTTTCCATCCTGAAAGTTTTGGATTTTTTGTTCTCTTATTCTTTCTGGAGGCAGTATCCAAAATGTGGTCTTGAAACGTCAAAGAATTGTCCACCCAGAATGTTAGCTCGAAAATATGCTAATTTTTCTCCTTAACTGATATTAGAACAATTGTTTGTGCATAACTAAGTCATTGTAAACTATATTTAGATTGGCTTGAACCATTCAAAAAAGAAAAAAGGAGAAGGAATGGAATTGGTTAGATTTGATGTAGTGCAGAACACATTGATTCTGCAGTCAATGCTCCCTGCAAGAAGATGATAGGTGTTGTCTTTCATGTTAAGTGTACTTTTAGGACAGAGATGGATTTGCATATACTGCAAATGATAGCATAATCCAGTAAGGTTGTATTTCAATAGAGTTATATATATGTTTCTTCAATTTCATTCTTAAGGATATGGCTACTGCATTGATGCAGGTTTTGTTTGGAATACTCGTCCTGGTATACCTCCCTGATTTGGATCCTTATCCCGGTTACACACCAATGAGGACTGAATTGGTTGATGAGGCTGAATATGAAGAACTTCCTGGAGGAGAGCAAATATGTCCTGAGAGGCATGCCACTATATTTTCCAGTGAGTGCTACTCCTGTATATGTGTTCTAAGTTGCTAGAATTCAGAAATTCTGAATTAGAAACATATCTTAGTAAGATATAAAGCCTTATTACAATAAGTTGTAAATTATATGAGGCTGTGCCATGCATGATAGACTGGCATATCTTGTTTCATTCTGATAAATGAATTTGCCTTTGATTTATATTTTAAATTCTTAACAGGAAAAGGGCAGTTGATTGTTTTCTGACTGTTGAATTTTTGATTTTTTTTTTTTTTCGGGACACTTTATTTGAGTCTGTTTGTTTGAATTTCCTTTATAATTAAAAATACATTATACTGGAAAAGAGTGGTTAAACTAGCTTTGATCTTTCCAGCAGTCTTTCTCTACTTCTCTATTTCAACCTGATAATGGCATGGTGCAGAAACTGGTTAGAGGTCAATTCAATGAACAAATTTTGTACTTTTGAGTTGATTTCTGATGCTCTTTTTCTCCTTTCTGTTTTGCTAGGGATATTCTTTTCATGGATGAGTCCCCTCATGCAGCAAGGGTATAGAAGACCTATTACAGAGAAGGATATCTGGAAGTTAGACACATGGGATAGGACAGAAACATTGAATGAAAAGTGTGTGCTAGCTTTTCCTCTCTTATGGTTCTTCAGAATTTTGTACATGGCAAGGTTGTTTGACATTTATTTTTTCTGACTTTGTAGATTTCAGGAATGTTGGGCTAAAGAAATGCGAAGGCCTAAACCATGGCTTTTAAGGGCATTGAATAGTAGCCTAGGAGGACGGTAGGTAAAGAGCAGCTGATTGTCTCTTGATATTTGGTTGTAAGGTTGAATTTAGCCTGTATTCCTTTTTTTTGTTAAAAGTGATTAGTTAATTTGAAAATTGAAAGAAAATGACGAAAATGATTAAACAACACTAAAGCTCTAAAAGTAGGACAAACACAACTATGGGCAATTGATTTCTCATGACTGGTAAAGTCTATTTGAATCTCTATTTGATAAAAACTTAATAACATGTTTAGAACTCATGAAAAGAACATGCTTTCTTAGACCTTCCACTGGTAGGATGTCTTGTGTATTTGCCCATGGGATTATATACAGGTGCCGTAATTGGTGGTATAGTTGAGCAAAGATTCCTTGTCTTTGGCTTGAACAAAAACTTGGGATGGAAAATACAAACAGATGAAATAATGCTAGTGGCATAATTATTGTTTGGTTAGAGATTTTGTCATTGCATGTATGCTTACACCTTTCTTCTTTTTTGTAGGTTTTGGTGGGGAGGTTTCTGGAAGGTAATCAGCTCATTTTCTTGATGTTGCATTTGGATCTTTCTATACCATAATGCAATATCTAATCTATGGATTGATCTACTTCTTAGGGCTGGATGTTCAATGATAACCCTTCTTTCTTTTTCAACTTGTAGATTGGCAATGATCTCTCCCAGTTTGTGGGGCCGCTTGTATTGAACCACCTGCTACAGGTTGGCCATGCATCTATGGCTAACTGGATAGATGATCTGCCTATGCTTTCTCTGCTTTCCTTTTCCTTATTTTCCTTCATTTCTATTTAATTTTAATTCTAGTTTTGTCCTGGAAACTATTTCACTTATTTGTTTAATTAACTGCTTGCAGTCCATGCAACAAGGTGATCCATCTTGGATTGGTTACATTTATGCATTCTCAATTTTTGCTGGAGTGGTAAGAAATGAATTCTTTGTTACACTGTGATTTAAAAGTTTCACTTTCAACTTTTCTGCCTAAACTGTAATTTGTCAGGTATTTAGAGATGGTCCAGTTTTGATGTAACATGGGCTTAACTATGTAACCTGATGCAGGCTGTTGGCGTGTTATTTGAAGCTCAGTATTTTCAGAATGTCATGCGTGTTGGTTTTCGGTTGAGAGCTACCTTGGTAATTTCATTATTTCCATGACCATTTTATGTTAGTC